TTTGAGGTTTATTAACATTTTGGACTGACCGAGAACACTGTAGTTGTTCAATAATGAAATTTATCCTCAAAAATACAACTTGCCTAATAATTGTGCACGCAGTGTAGGTTGAATAAATGAGGAGAGGATGTATACAGCTTTGTTTTACTCCTTTGTTATCCTGGAGCTATGTTCTCTCTGGACTTTGCTTCCAGAAACTGTGTATACATTTCTCATGAGGACAATGAGATGTTGTGGGATTCCCATTTTCCTAAGGACATTCCACAGCTTGACAAGACTGACACAATCAAAGGCCTTTTTATAGTTAATGAAGCACATATTGACTTATTTTTGTATTTTTTGGCTTTCTCTATTATCCAGCATATATCAGCAATAACGTACTGTATTTTGTTCTTTAGCCTTTTCTAAAGCCAACTTCAACATCTGGTATTTCCCTTTCCATGTAGGGCTCTATTCTGTACTGGATGATCCTAAACATTACTTTGTTTGCCTTTTGTTACTTTCTTCTCTCTCTTTTTCTTATTATTACTATTTTTCATTTTTAAAAAACCTATGTAATGTTATTACTGTAGTGCTGATTTCACTTTGTCTTCTAGTACTAGAGGTTTGGAAAATGGAATATCTTCTAAGGTATCTTGGATGTTGACACCCTTACTTTACAGAATTTCAGTAAATTGCTTCTTTGTTTAATCTTCTTTGAATCAATTATTATCTGCACACTAATAGCTGCCCAATAATTGTGCACACGTAGATATGCTCCTAAGAAAGCCAAAACCTCACTTATCAGGAGCTCTTAGCATGCCAATTCAAAGATGGAATCTTCTAAATTCAGAGATCTTTTGGAAAGCTCTCCTTGTTTTCCCATATCTGTTTCCATCTTTGACGTTGTAATGTATCTCTTCTAACAGCTCTCCAAAATTCGTCATTAAGTTCCTTCCTGAGATCTTTGTCTTTCTTGGCTTTGGCTTTTCTTCTCTTCTTGGCAATTTTCACTGCTTGTTCTGACATCCAGTTTGTTTTCTTCTTTTTCTTGATCTTTGACTGTCTCTTTTCACATTCATCCTTAACGATTTATTTTCATTCCATTCCAATCATTCCACAGTTCTTCCTGTTCCCTATCAAGGAGATTCAGGACTTCAAAGCGATTCCTGATGTTCTCCTTGAAAATGATGGATATATGCTCTGGGTCATATGTTGAAACTAGTTGGCTTTGTTTTTCCACTTAACTTGAATTGGAACTTGCACATGAGCAGTTTGTGATCTGTTCCATAGTCAGCCTCTGACCATAATCTTTATTATGATTGAGCTCTTTTACCTCCTTGTACCAGTAACATAGCCAATCCCTTCTCAGTACAGGAGTCACATTAAAATCATCCCCAACGGATGGCTATGTAGCCTCCAGTGAAGTGTACATGTAGCTGAATAAACAATGACGTAGCCTTCATATTATCATACTCTGAACCACAGGATTTATTGTTCTATTAAAGTGATAAGGCAATATATTATTTTCTACTCACTCTCAAAGCGACAAAGCCAAGTTTTCGTTGGAGGGGGATCATGAGATTTAATACCTGGGGTTAATTCAGATGTGTGTACCATACACACATCTATGTTCTTAGCCAAAGTGCCCATGGAGCCCAGTTCTGCTCACACAGGCAAAAAGGACAAAGGGGGGCAGCCACTGTGTTCCCCTCTTAGGAATTTTTGCTCTCCAGAACAAAACCAAACAAGCTGACCTATAGAAAACTACCTACCAGAGGAAGTTCCATCTTGCTAGACAGAAGAACAGGCGGTTTCCAGGGAAGCAGAGACTGAAACTCTTCTATCTGCCTGGAAATTAGAGAAGAGACCATTTATTATATCACATCTCATAAATCCCCTATCAGCTCTATAATAATACTACAATTCCAACAATCAAACCCAGATGCTGAAGGAGGGGTTTTTTTAAAGAGAAACTCACTCCAAGGAATGCAGACTGCACGTGTATGTATAAGCCAACATGCTTAAGTTTCATTTACAAATAAGGAAAGCTGGTTTATTTGCTTTGTGACCCAGAAAAGCAAAAAAAAATAAGGTATTCAGGAAGTTTAGCAATTGAAGACAATCCACAGTTCAGGAGCAAGCCTTATCAAGCCCAACTTTATGAATAGGGCAGAAGACGCTTGGGCCCCAGTGGACTGAAAAAAGCCTTTGGGGAAGAAAAAGTGTATTCTAGTGGTGGCTAATCCCCTGCTGAGAGGGAGCAAGGCTGCAGTGCAGACTTGATAGACCCTGCAGGAGGTAACACATTGTCCAGGATGTGGCAGACAGGATGCCAAGCCTCTTCAATCTCATCAATCACTACCTCTTCCCAACGATTCATATGGGGAAGAGTAACCCTGACAGAAGGGACTCTGAACAGATCTCCAGAGGCTACAAGGCCCAGGTCAGGAAGATGAAGGAACTGGGAGCACAGAGTAGTGTTTTTGACAATCCTTCCAGTTCAGGAGTATAACATAAGGAGGAGAACCGGAACTAGAGAAGGTGCCACCAAGACAAGTCTGGGTTCCTCAAGCATAGACTGTGCTATCCACATGATGGATTCCTGAGATGGGCTACATTTCACGAAGAATGGGAAGAATGTGTCCAACAGATACCTCACTAATCTCATCAGGAGGGCATTAACCTAGAGCAAAAGGGAGAAAGCGGCCAAAGCACAAAAACAAATATACCACCAAGGATCACAGCCAGCAGGAGACATCTAAAGAGATCAGTACAGGTATTTTTTAAAATGCTCAAAACAAAAAGGGACATTTATAGGAAATGGAAGGAGGGACATATAACCAAAGGATACAAGGCAGTCAGCAGATATTGTAGGGAGTACATCAATACAGCTAAAGCTCAGAATGCGCTGAAGCTTGTGAGAAAGGCCAAGAGGCTGTAAGCCTGTTGCCAGGAGAAAGGAGTAAACTGACAACAGGTGATGGTAAGAAGGAAGGTAGAATCTCTTAATTCATATTTTACACCTCACTTCTCTTAGAAGGAAAACAAAGCCCTAACTAGCCCCTGTTGTGCCACTAATAGAAAGAAGGAGTTGCAGTTCAAGATAGACAAGGGGAGAGTAAAAGAATACTGAGCTAATTTAATGACTTCAGCCCTCCAAGGCCAAGTGAATGACTCCCAAGAATACAGAAATTAGCAGAATTGCTGGCATTCTTGAGAACTCCTGAAAAACTGGTATTCCAGGAAACTGGAGGATAGCAAATGTCTCTGTCTTCAAAAAAAGGAAGGAAGAGAATCTGGAAAATTACAGATCTGTAAGTCTGATGTCTATATTGGGCAAGGTCCTCAAGCAGATGATTAAACAGCACATTTGAGTACTTGGATAGGAATGCAACAATTAACAAGAGCCAGCATGGTTTGCCAAACTAATCTTATCTCCTTTTCTGCCAGAGTTATTAGCTTAATAGATCAGAGGAATGCCATGGACACAATGTACCTTGACCTCAGCAAAGCAATCAGTGAACTCCTTCACTATATCCTCATTAATAAAACTGTCAAATATGGGCTAGATAATATAACTGATAACTTCATTAATTGGTTGAATGACTGCACCCAGAGGGCACATCGGGCTGGAGAGGGGTATCAAGCAGACTGTCAGAGGGCCCTGTGCTATTCAACCTTTTTATTAATGACCTAGAAGAAGGGGTTCTGGGGATGATAATTAAATTTGCAGATGACACAACACTAGGAAGCATGGCTAACACTCTAGAAGAGAACAGGATGGGGGAAACCTGACTTGGTGGTACTACATGTTAAAAGGATCTGGGCTTCTAGAATACATTTAATTAACCAGGTTACCTAAGGGACCGTCTCACCCCCATTATATCCACCCATCCCATCCGGTCAGGCAGAGAGGGTACGCTGCGGACCCCATTGATGAAAGAATGTCAACTGGCAGGGTCCAGAAAGAGAGCCTTCTCTGCCGTGGCCTCCGCCCTACGGAATACTCTTCCCCCAGAGGTGAGGCAGGCCCCAACTCTCTTGTCCTTCTGGAAAGCAGTCTAGACCTGGCTCTGACAACTGGCATGGGGTGAAAAAAGGGGCAACCAACCCTGTGGGTGGCTAGCACCTTGAAGATGCTCCCATATGTTAACATCTGACTGATCATCAACATCTTGGAAGATGTTATCCGTGTATGTGTTTGGTGTTATTCTATTTTACTGTATTTTATATTGTTTTATTGTATTTTAATTAATATTTATTGTTGTTTTATTGCGAACCGCCCAGAATCACTTTTTTGTGAGATGGGCAGTATCTAAATTTGTTAGATAGATAGATAGATAGATAGATAGATAGATAGATAGATAGATAGATAGATAGCTAAATAAATGTCACCCAACTCCCAGCGACCCCGGGCAGCTTACAAATGATTAAAAACCTTTAAAAACAAGTAACAACACAAGACAGACAAAACAAAGAATCCAGAAGTACACAAAGCACCCCTGCTACCCACCCACCCCGCCCCCGGTGACAGCCAGCAGTGACTTAGAGGGGGCAGGCCCACATGGGGTAGCCAGGGAGTGCGGAGCAACTGAAGTGCTGGCCCAGACCCAGAGAGACCCAGGGCCAAGTCCACTTTGTGCCAGCCACCCTCTTTCGGCCAACCGACCCACCTCACTGGGCTGTGGTGTGCAAAAGGAGAAAGAGAAGACGCACCTTGCGGGGGAAAGGCCAGGTTTAAATCTAACCAATGCACAAAATAAGCTACCGTAACTCGCACCCCCTTCCCTCCCCCGACCTCCCACGGCATTGCCCCCCGGCCTGCATTCGCGAAAAACCGGCTCGCGGCCACGAGCAGCCCCAGACCAGCCGGCAGGTCTAGTTTCCCATCGGGCTCCCTGCCTGCCCGCCGCTCTCAGTCCCGAGGTACCTCAGCGTCTCCTCCTTCCAGCCGCTATCATGGACCCAGACGGGGACGCCGAGGAGCCTCCGGCCCGGGGCAACCAGGCGGCGCTGCGTCTCCGCGGCACCGAGGAAGGAGTGACCTAAAATGGTCGGTGCTTGACAGACGGGGCGGCGGGGTCGGCTTGACCAGCGCCAGCTCCACACCCACCGAGCGGAGGAAAGGCGGCGCCTCCTTTCGCGGGCCATGAGAGAGCGGCGCCCTCTGCTGGCCGGCTGACTCCGTGCCCTCGCGTCCCGGGCTTGACTCGCCCGGCGTTCTGCGATCTGCGCAGGCGTCCGAAGCGGCTGGTTGGGGGTTAGGAGTTGAATTCTGGGAGTTGAAGTCCACATATCTTCAAATTGCCAAAGTTGAGAAACACTGGCTTAGGAGGTTAACAGTTGAGTAGACAGAGTGTCTCCAAAACATTTGCTATGTAAGTTGCTACTAAAAGGGCTGGTAGTGGCTAGACACATTCTTGCAGAAAAGGTCCTATTCAGTAACCCTCTCTACCTTCCAGAGGGTTTTGAAGACTTAAGATCCATCCACTAAGTAAGTTTTACAGCATAATCTCACATATAAGTCTGGTCATTGTTCATGCAAGACAACTCCTGCAATCAAGCAGCCATATTTGTGGTATCTTAAACTGTAACTCATAATGATAGAATATCCATTCCCCCCCCCCTCTTTTTTATATCCAACACTCTAAGGCAGTGATTCTTAAAGTGTGGTCTTAGGACCTCTGGGGGTCCCCCAAGACCCTCTTAGGGGTCTGCGAAATCAAAAATATTTGCCAGCCTATGTTGAAAAATAATACAATATTAAAATCCCATCAAACAAGAGAAGAGGTAGCAGCAGCAAATACGTCAACTTTAATTTTTAATACGGTAAATATCAATAATTATAACCCATGCAAACAAAAGCTCTTTGGGGGCCCTCCATAATTTTTAAAAGTGGGAAGGGGTCCTGAGAGAAAAAAGTTTATGAAACACTGCTCTAAGTATCTAAACAATATAATGTTAAGAATGTAAGTAAATTATATAAATATCATTGCATTGAAATAATGTAAGTATCAAGATCTATACTATCACAATTAAAAAAGGGGGGAAGCAGCAAATGAGAATTGGTGAGGTCCCAGAAGGACAGCAAATGTTGTCTTTGTCTTCAAAAAAGGAATGAGGATGATCTGGGAAAGTACAAATATGTGAGTTGACATTTCTACTGGGCAAGGTCCTAGAGCAGATGATTGAACAGCGTGTTTGAGTACTTGAACAGGAATGCAACAGTTAACAAGAGCCAGTGTGGGTCTGTCAGAAACAAGTCAGGCCAGGAAGACCTTATCTCCTTCTTTGACAGTTATCAGCTTAATTGGTCAGAGGAATGCTACGGACATAGTGTACCTTGACCTCAGCAAAGCCTTCAGCTAAATCTCTCAAAATATCCATTCATACAGGCTACATGAGATAACTGTGAGATCAATTCATAATTGGCTGAATGACTGTACTCAGAAAGTATGCATAAATTGCTCCATATCAAGCTGGAGATGGGAACTGAGTGGAGCGCAAAAGAGGTCTGTCTTGGGCCCCATGTTGTTCAACATTTTTACTAATGACCTGGTGGAAAAGGTTGAGGGGATGACTATTAAATGTGCAGATGTCATAACACTAGGAGGAGTGGCTATCTCTTTAGAAAACAAAGAGAAAAATCAGGAAGACCTAGACAGACTTGAATAGTGAGCCCACATGAATAGGATGAAATCTAACAGGGAAAAATGTAAAGTTCTCCTTCTGGAAGGAAAAACGAAAGACACCAGTACTGGATGGGGAAGATCTGACTTGGCAAAAGTGCTTTTGAAAAGGGTATTCTAGAAGTTGAATATGAGCCAATAGTGTGATGTAGCTGCTAAAAAGGCTAATGTTATTTGGGGACATATTAACAAGGAGTCCAGATCACAAGAAGTAATTATTCCACCTTGCTCTAGTTGATCAGGCCCCACCTGGAATATTAGGACTAGTCCTGGGTACCACAGTCTAAAAACCACATCAAGAAACTGGAGGGAGTTCAGAGGAAAGTACTAAGGTAGTAAGGACAATGGAAATGAGGAATAATTAAAGAAACTTGGTATGTTTATCTTACAGACAAGATTGGTGGGAGACATGATACCAGATATCTACAGCATTGTCACTTAGAGGAGGGAATAGACTGGTTCCTTGTTGACCAGAGGGCTGGACCACAACCAGTGAATTGAAACTTCAGGGAAGTAGGCTCAAGTTAGATATTAGGGGGAATCTTCTGATAGGAAGAAGTGTCTATTAGTGGAATAGATTGACTCACGAAGTGGCATATTCTCCTTCACTGCAGGTCTTCAAACAGAGGATGTCCAAGTTATTTTATCAAGTGTTGCACTGAATGGAAGGTTGGATGAGATGATTTCTGAGGCCCTTTGCAACTTGATGAGCCTATGATTAATATCTGACTAGACCAGTGTTTCTCTGCCTTGATTATTTTAAGAGAGGTGGACTTCAACTTCCAGAATTCTGGGAGTTGAAGTCCACCCCTCTTAAAGTGGCCAAGGTTGAGAAACACTGGATTAAACAGTGGGGGAGGAGGAAGAATTAGAGACAGGCCACACCAGTATTAAGAAGATTAACAATAAAGCTGCTTGTCTGACAGAATTTAAAAAAAACAACCCACAGTGGTTATTAGAAGTCTCCATGGATTTGTCAGAAAGAATCCTCCCACTTTTATTTTATTTTATTTTCTAGTTGGATTAAAGGCTTAGTGGATAGTGTGAAGAGTGCTGACATTTTGATTTCACCCAAGGTAGTAGACAATGTTCCTTGTTACCTGCTGATCAACAAACTTACTGTTTTGGTTGAACATTACCTGAAGCCACTGTTTGCTGACTAGCTCACAGTTGGCTGCATAGACAGCATTCTCCAAGACTTCTTCAGTTGTGGCTCTGCCTCCATCTCTCATTTAAAGGCCAGCCCAGCCTTCAAGCTGAAAAGCATTAAATTGTTTAATGAACAGAGCAGGGATGGTAATTTCAGGTGGAAATAGGAAAAGAAAAAAAAGAGGCCAAAAATGGGATCATGCAAACCTGTGCAGGCAACAGTTTTGTCAGTGTGTGTGAAGGGAGAAGTGAAATTTCTCTGACTGATCTCATCTTTCATCTGTTTGTTTTCTTTTCTGTACTCAGCTTATATAGAAACGATCTCACACCTGTAAGCATTCACACATTCCTCTGTGCCAAGAATTGTTGAATAAGCTAGGAACAAACCAGCATCAGGCAAGGAAGAATAATGGCTTGATCATTTCCTGGTTTGTTTCCTCTTCCCGTTTTAAGCAACTGGCCTTGCATTCCTGCAAAAAGCGTAGCTGTTTAAGGGGGCTCAAAGATAAACGGGGAACAAGCCAGGAAGTCACAAACAGCCATGCATCCCAGACACACATCACACTTACCCAGTTTCCATCAATAAAATGTTTACTGGCTGAAAACAAACCATGATTTATTAATCCAGTTCACACATGATGCAAACAAACCACATGATGTTGCAGGATCATGTATGAACTTGGAGGCTGCCTTCACCCAACACACTAAACCAAAATGTGGTTGGTTGGTTAGTTCTGCTGATTTTCCCCTTGCTAGAAGCACAAGTTTTCCAATGTTATAAATTAACATTTTAGATAACACAAACGGGCATGTGAATGCCTGAAAAAAATGCAATGTGTGAAGAAGTCTCTTATTTATGTTTTAGTTACCTACCAATTCACTGCTCTTTCACCCCACTTCCAGGAATGGCAGCAGGTTTAAGGGCCCCTGGCAAAGGGTCATCTGCTCATCAACCCTACCTCATGCTCAAGGTATCTGGCAACAAGGAAACAGAAGCCACTGATTCATTGCATATGATGCTCTAGATATTGTCATCGCTGGGGCATTTCACAGCTCTGAAATCAGGACCTCCTTTTTCAGAGTGGCACAAGGGAGGCATTGGAGCTGGCTATCGGCCAGCAGCTGGCCAAAGGGTCCACATGCTGACCACAGACCTATTTTCTGCACACTTTCAACCATGTCTCTTGCCAGATGGAGGCAACATTTCACAGAGCCGAGGAAGTGGACTCTAGTAATATTTGTATGCTGCCTGACTCTCAATGACTCTGGGTGTTATTTATTTAATATTTATTATAAAAATTCCCCTCTCCCCCCTATGGGTGGTACGTGTCTTCCTCAATCTCGGGTCCTCTACCAGAGACCTGGG